TGTCTCTGTCTTGCTAATCGTCCTGCCCAGGGCCAGCTCCCATGGCTCTGAGCTGCCTCTGTCCTTGGCCAGTCCTCAGTGGGAATGGGGATGCTGGCACGGGAGCCCAGGCCGTGGCTGGTTGGGCCTGCTGGACGGCAGAGAGCCGGCCTGGGTGCCCTGGCCCCGTGGCATCCCTGAGTCCTGCTGCCACCTGCTCTGCTCCCAGGAAGAGCTCCCGCTGATTCACCTCAGCCTGTGGAGGGCAGGAGGCTCCCTTCCCCAGTCTACTGGCCAGACAGGCCTGCGTTCAGATGCTCCCTTGGCCTTTAGAAGCTGTGTGACCTCCAGCAAGTCCTTCCAGCTTTCTGAGACTCCGCTTCTACAGGTCTAAAGGGAGGATGAGGCGGCCCTCCTGTGAGGTTATGGTGAGGATGACGGAGGACCATGTGCAAAGAAGCTGGGGTTCACATAAGAGTGTCCCCTCTTCTTCCAGCCCTCCCCCCTTCTATCCCCCCTCTCTTCCTTCCCCCTCCACTTCCCTCCTTCTTCCTGGACAGCCCTTGGAGACTCGGGGTGTGCATACTTGTTCTTATTTGTCCTGATTACCATCTGTTGCAGGCCCGCTGCATGGAAGCTCCAGTGCATTGTTGGGGGATGGATCAGAGATAAAGCAAGCATTCTCCCTGCCCAGTGGGAACATTATTTATCTGCACATTCGTGTGTACTGGTTGCTGCGTGCACGTGTCCGTGTCCATGCGCTCACTAAGCTGCTCTGCTCCTTGGTACGGCAGCCTCACCTATGCAGTCAGCCTGTGACCTCTCCCTCCTGGGTGGCGTCTGCACTGAGCCTCCTTGGCCAATCCGGCCTTGCAGCTTCCATGTCACTGAAACAGGAGGGAAGGGGGCAGGGCACAACCTCTAAAAGAATGACATAGCCCTTGAGGACACGACATAAACTGGTAGAACCAATTAGGTCCAAGATGGCAGAAGATTTGACTTCCAGTGGACCTTGAGACTCATTTTACGCTCATTGTAATACATCACCATCTAAATGACACACCCACAGGAGCCATGACAGTTCTGATGCCGACCATAAAAGGCCAAAAAGTGGGTGGTGGCCCAGTTCCTGAAAATCTCTGCCCCTTCTCCAAAATAGTTGGAATACTCCTCCCACTCATTAGCCTATGAAATTACCCAGCCCGTAAAAACTAACCCCCCCCCCCCCATATTTTGGGGCCTCTTGCCTTCTGAGACAGACTGCACTCTGTCTGTGGAGTGTGTTTCTTCCAAGGCTGTTCTCGCCTTTTGAGATGAATCACATTCTGTATGCGGAATGTATATCTCTCTAAATAAATCTACTTCTTACTTATCATTTTGTCTCTCACTGAATTCTTTCTGTGATGAGACATAAAGAACCTGAGCTTCATTAAGTCCTGAGACCAGGTGTGTGATTTCAATTAAAAGACAGTGGGTGTAAGTCCCAATCTGAGCTGTGCAGTTCCATCACCACTGCATCTTATTCTGGCTGGGCCTGGGACCCGGTGGGCTGGGGAGCAGGCTGTGCTTCCATAAAGTTTTCCAGGACACTGGGTAGGCCAGGGGGATGAGGCTGAGGGGAGGGGAGGGAAGAAGTGAGGTGCCAGGGAGCCCAGCTTCTGTGGGCCAGTTCTCAGACTGCAGTCAGTACAGTCGGACCTGGGGCTGTGGAGGGAGGGAGGGAGGGAGGGGTGACCAGTATTCCTCTTCCCACACAGGTACCAGCCCTCAGGGAGGCCCAGGGGCTCATCCTCTCCCTGGAGCCTTTTTAAAGGAAGGCACTTCTGAAACTGAGCAGGACCCTGTGGGGCTCCTGGGCATGGAAGCTTTTCTGTGTCCCCCATTTCTTGTTGGTAGGGAATAGACTCCAGCCTCCATGACCTTCCCTGAGTTCCAAAGGGCAGTTTCAAACAGCTGCTAATCAGGGAAGGGAGGGGATGCAGAGACAAGGGAGGAGCGGGCAAGAAACAACAGTGCAGCCTTGGGGCAGGGTCCTGGTTCTGCCTCATGGGATACACACAACAATATCTTTGAGCTGTTCTGCAGAACTAAAACCCCCAACAAATGGAAGATGCTAACAACTTGATGAAGCATTCTTCATTCCAGAGAGAAGGTCACAGTTTGATATCCTTGAGAACCACAGAAGCTCATCAGGAGACCACCTGAGGCCAGATTAAAGGAATGCAGGCCCTGCACACACCCTGATCCTGATCAGCAACCCTGGCCTTGAACCATTGCTGGAAAACTCCTCACCAAATCCTGCCACACCCCCAGGTTGGGGCACACAATTTTTGAGGGCAGGAGCCCTCTGTGTCCCCCTCTGCCTGGCAAAGCAATACAGCTATTCTTTTCTACCTCACCCAGAACTCTGTCTCCGAGATTTGACATGGCACCGGTGTACAGAGGCCGGGTTTCCAGCACCACTTCTGTGTGTGGGCTCTGGGTGCTCCCTCTGTGCCCACTGGACAGTGATCTGTGTTCAAACTCCTTGCAGACGAGGCCACGTGCCCACGTAGCCTCAAAAACCTAAAGTGACGTCACAACAGAAAGGAACGTTAGAAGTCATTTAGTGTTTCCTAAATGTGGGGGACTCTCGGCCCACAGCTTGCAACAGGTATTCTGGGAAGAAATGGAGTCTTGGCCAAATACATTTCGGTAGCGCTATCTGACTCTCCCTGCCCTGCCATACACACACTGGGATACCGGAGATGCTGAGGAGACTTGGCATTAGTTTAACTTCCCTTAATAGGCCGTTTTCCAAACTTATTTGCACAGGGAACACCCTTTTGGTTTGGGCTGTTTATCGTCACTTTGCCAAACTGGTGTTCTATAGCATTTTGGGACACGGATACAGCCAAACCTTTTATGTTATAGATGAGAAAGCGGAGGGCCAGCGAGCTTGGTCCTCTCACCCCCACCCCAGGGAAAGGCCTCAGCTTCTGAACACGTCTCTTCCATCTCTGCTTCTTTCCTTCCCTCTGCTTCTCTCCCTGCGACTTCCGGCTCCCTTAGTTGGCAGCCATCCCTGCCTGAGCTTGGATCCCATTAGTTCTCTAAGGAGAGTCATAGGAGACCTTTTTGCTGACTCCTTGTATAGATGGCTCCGCCTCAAGGAACCTGAGCCCTGAGAAGTTCCTGGCCACCTGGGCTGCAGTCTTTAATCTTGGAACTGCTGGTCTCCAGGTGAGGGATCGCTGAGCTGCTGGGAGTCTTAGAAAGACTCTCATGCAAGAGGATGGTTAGTAAGTTCACTTTAGCTCACGGTTACTCCTGAGGAAGTGTTTAAATGTGACGCACTGAGGACATTTCATTGACTGATACATACCCACTATACATCCAACACCAGTTATTGACATCCGAAGACAATTAGTGCAGAGCACATGACACATTTGTTCCTGCCATCAACCCTGGGAGTTGGTCAGGGAGGTCAAGCGAGTTGCCCAAGATTCCAGGACGAGGACAGGGGGAACCAGGGCCCAAGCCCAGGGAGCAGGGCCCTGCAGTCTGCACTCCAGCCTCTGGGAGCCATTATCACTAATGTTAGCATGGGAAGGATGGGGTGACGCTGTGATTCATAAGAAATATATATTTCGTCATTCAGATGACCAAAATATATTTCTCATATGTATTTATTTGGTCTTTGTACACTGTTCCTGGCTCATAGCTTCCAAAACCCTTGGAATTTCCTAAGTGCTGAGAGTGATAAAGGTGTCTTTTGTTATTTGAATGAGGTGATTTTTGGAAGCCCCTAAGGTTGGGGGCTGGTTGTCAGGGGAACCAACCACCTGACTAGAGGTTTGTAACTTTCAGTCTCGCCCCCTTGACTTCCAGGCGGGAGTAGGGCTGGAGGTTGATGGTCAATCATCATTGACCAGTGATTTAGTTAATTATGATTATGTAATGAAGCCTCCATAAAAACCCAAAAGGACAGCCTTTTGGCCCTTTTTCAGAGAGCTTCTTGTTGGGGGAGCCAGAATGCTTCTGTGCCACTGTGCTGGGGCCCTGTTCAGGACCTCACCCTACACTATCGCTTTACCTGGTTGTAGATTCCTAACCTTTAATAACCTTACATATATATATATTTTTTTTAATTGAAGTATAGTTGATTTAAAATGTTGTGTTAATTTCTGTTGTACAGCAAAGTGACTCAGTTACACACATATATTCTTTTCCTCAGTTACACACACATGCTTCTTTGTATGCTTTTATGTGATGGTTTATTGCAGGATACTGAATATAGTTCCCTGGGCTATGCAGTAGGACCTTGTTGTTTACGCATTGTATACGTAATAGTTTGCAGTTTGGGGTTCAATAACTTTTGATAATAAATGGGTAATCTGTGAGTAAACTGGTTTTTCTGAGTTCTGCAAGCCCTTCTAGCAAATCAATCGAACCTCTGGAGGGGGTCGTTGGAACCTCAGTTTGTAGCTAGTGGGTCTGTCACTGACATCTGTGGTGAGCGTGATCCTGTAGGACTGAGCCCTCTACCTGTGGAATCTGATTCTGTCTCCAGGGAGACAGTGTCAGCATTGAGTTGAACTGCTTGTTGTTGTAGGGAAGCCTCCTCTGCACGTTAGAACTGGGCTTGGGAACCCTTTTCCGATGGAGTTCACTCGTATTTTTAGCAGGTCCATTCTTTCTAATACCAGGCATTCCGGAACCAATGCTTCAGCTAGTGCCCTGGGGGCTGGGGCAACCTATTTCTAGAGGGACACTGCACTCATGCATCTGTTTCCTGAAGCTGTGCGCAGGTGGGGAAGACGCATGCTGGTCACTGGGCCCTCCCTCTCTCCCTCCCTGGTGGGGGCCAGGAGCCATCTGTACAGACTGTGTTCTCTGACAACCGCCCCGTGGAGCCTGAAGTGGCCGTCCCAGTATCAGCGGGCGGAGTCGATCAGAGAACACAAAACTGCACGGATAACAGGTAAGCCCTGGGCAGCCTTTATCTTTCCCTAAACAATCACAGTCACGTCATTTGACTCTGAATGCTCCATTACGTTTCAGATTTATTTCCAATCACTGAGAGCTGCATCCATGGGAGACAAAGGTGCCTTTGAGCTCCGGCACCTGCTGTTCCCCCAGATGCCAAGGGCTGACGTTTGATGTCTTTATCCGCAGTCGGCGTGATGATGACTCACTCCTTGCTCCCCACTCCTAGGCCCACAGCCCCATTCACACCCAGCGAGGACTTCCATGCCCCACACGCAGGTGGCAACGTGCGCGGCCCAGGGGGAGCCGACCTCCTCCCTCTCTTCCCTCTGGCAGAGCCTGCCTGGGTCCCTGGGAGAGGCCTCTGCAGCTGGGTTCCTCCTTCGCTCCCTCCCCCACTGGGCGGCACCCAGTGTCCCAGGCGAGGTGCGTGTCTTGGGGTGCGGGGGGCGCTCGCGGGCTGCCTGGTGCTGCAGGTGGGGGGGTGGGCTTTCTCTCCTGGACGGGGAGGCGTTGGCGGGAGGTGAGTCCTGGTAAAGTCCTTCAGATGAAGTACTCCTTTCTGCTGCTGTCACCGTTGTCCTGGAGGGACGGGTCGTCCTGCAGGGCCGCGTCGGCGCTCTCGGCAAACTCCGTGCCCTTGGCCTCGTTGGTGTGGTACGTGCCCTTGTGCCGGTACATGTAGTGCAGCATGAGAAAGAGGAGGCAGACCAGCACGAAGGCCACGGCCGCGATCACGCCTGCAGGAGCGGAAGCACAGGGCTCTGTGTCGGGGGGAGAGGCCGGGCTGGGATGGGGGAGGACGTAGGCGGGACCCACAGGGTTGTGCTGGGACAGACACGCTGCCGGCCAGACACCAAACCCAGACAGGCTGGCTCCTTCCTGCCTCTCTCTTGCCCTGCCCAGGGCACTTGCCCCTCCCCTGTGCCCATCTAAGCTACCCCTGACCTCCCCTCTCCCTCCGGGCAGCATCCTCAGACTGAGGCTGGAATCTTATCCCAGCACTGACCCTGCTCCGAGGCGCTCCCCGTCCGCTGCGGGAGGCAGACCTAAGTGCGCCGTCCACCGAACGCAGCTCGCGGGTTTGCCTAAAACTGATAGGTTCACGGGACTTGGAACTTTCAGGGATTTTTTTTTTTTTTTTGAGATAAGTTTAATTCAAAGAATTAGGTATTTTATATATAGCTATTAAAAAGGTGGAAAAATTATTTTATAAAGACACAATCCTTTTTTAAAACCTGGCAAATTCAGAGAAACACAAATGGACGTTAACATGTCCTTAATCCTTCGGCTCAGAAATCACCGCAGTTAACAATCTGATATCTTTCCCTCCCAAGAAGCATTCATGTTTAATCGAAGGTCTCCTTCAATCTTCAAATGAATGGCCCTCTCTAAACCTTTGTAACACTTTAGCATTTAGAACTTGCAATCATTTTCAAACTCTTCTTACTGTAGTCCCTCTGGCCGATTTACGATTCTCCAAACACTTTTTATTTGACCAATTTTCCATGTCTTTGCACATGTTCTCTCTGCTGAAAATATTTTCCCCTCCCCTTGCCTTCCTGGTAAACTTGGATGCTGCCTTCAGAATCCAGCCTCTCCCACCTCCTCTAAGAAGACGCCTTTGCCTTACTCTCCTGGCCCTGCAGAGCAAATCACTCCATCCCTTAGCATTTCTGCTGTACTTTGTAAATCTGATAACTGAGTTTTAGAAGCAGGACAATCCCAGCTGAGGGGTTTCCTGGGCATGGGATTGAAGTGCGAAAACCGGGAAAGTGCCAGGAGTGGGAGGGGGCGAGGGCTGCCCCTGGAGAAGTGTGGTGTGTGTGCCCCTTAGCCCACAGCTCCCCTGTGCTCCGGGAGGTGGGGTCTGCAGGAGGGGCTGGGAGGTGTGGCTAGACGGCTGGTCAGAAGGAAGAGGTCACTCAGGCTTTGGAGTGATGGGGTGAGAGGGCAGGACCAAAGAGTTTGGGTAGGACTAACGGGTGGCGCTCTCACGTGGGGAGGTTCAAGTGCAGGTGTTTGCTTTGAAACCCCAGAACAAACCCTCTGCCTTGACTTAGAAGGTGGGTTTACTGGGGGAGGGGCCTTTGGAGAATATGTAGAGATAACAACCGTTCCCAAGTCCCAGCTTTGGGACAATTTCCTCAGCTCCCCGTGGCCTTTAGGGGACACTTTTGTCTGCATGATGTTAATGGCATTGTCTAAGAAAAAGAAGGTCCGGCCGTTCAGTGAGTAGGAGAACATCAGGGTGATTGCCTGCTTTTATTTATTTATGTCGAAACGTGAAGTTCCCTGAGCTAGGAATGAGCTAGGGAGAAGTGTGAAGGTCAGAAGGACACCGCAAGCTATAGCTCACAGACTTAGTCTGTCCTGAAACACAGTTTGGGTCACAGCTGTGACCAGTGGGGGCCAGTATGGGCTTCAGAGCAAGGCTAGGGCAGGGTTAGGATGGAGAGACAGGGGCGTGAGACCTACGACAAGAAGCAGTGTGGCTTGATGGAGCCGGGAGAGAAGTCAGGGAACCCTGGTCAGCCTCCAACCCCACCCCTCCCTTACCAGAGCGGCTCTCCCTCCAGCCCCGCTTCCCTGTGCATCTAGGGCCCTGACAGGCCCTGATGCAGATGCCTTGGCACCTCACCCACCAGGATGCTGTGTTGGACATTTTCTTACAGAGCCAGAGTCCCCCGGTCCACCTTCAAACCACCTTTGAGGGAAGGAAAGCAGGGCCATGGCAGGTCCTGCCCTTAGTGTTTCCTCTGACCCTCGTGGCTGTTTGAGGGGCCCCCGGACAGCGTACCTGCAATGACGGCGATGTCCATCTCCCTCGAGGCCATCCCGGGGTCGGGCTCTGTGGACAGAACAGAAGAGCCTGAGGTGAGAGAGGACGGCTGCCCATGCCCTGCAGTGTCTCCGCCGAGCTTGCACCCTCTGCTCACAGGTGCACTGGCCCAGGGTGCATGGGAAACTGCGTGGCACGCAGACAGGCCTCTGGCCGGGGCTGCACAGGGCCGGGCCCAGGCTCTCCATGTCCGCTGACCGTTGCTGGAGAGCATCGTGTCACTCCCAGGGCTATCAGACACCATTATGGCATCTCCAGGACTGAGCCAGCCATATGTGAGGGACCTCTGCTGCAACCCTGACCCAGACCCCTGCCCGCACCTGCAGGTGCTCACCAGACACCTGTGGGGGTGTGAGGGCAGGCACGACTGTGTTTAGTGCAGTGTCACCTGCCTCTTCAGGCCTCAGCTTTTCTCATGATGATGGTAAAAACAGACCACCTGTGGGGTGTCTACACATGTCAGGTGTTGGTTTAGTTGCCATCCATCTAGTATACCAGGTACATGGTATTATTAACCCATTTCACAGGTGGGACACTGAGGCTCAGAGACTGATGTGCCCACCGTCACACAGCTGGTCTGGTGGGCGAGCTTGAGGCCGGGACTTAAGGCTGTGCTCTCTGGGGGACACTTTCTCTCTTCTCACTTGAAGACGCCCTTCCCAGGAGGGCTCCTATCCAGGGATCTCTCCCTAAGACCCTCCACAGGCCTCTGCATCCTTCTTCTGAGGGTAGGGCTACTCTGTGGTGCTATCCAAGTTACTAAGTGCGTTTTTCAGAAGCTCAGTGGTCTAGCCAGAAGGCTACGATGTCCAGGAGAGCAGGAACCTCTCCTCTGGGATATGTGTGAGAGGAAGGATTTATTAGAGCACGGAAATATCAGTGTTCACATGGAAATCCCATGTTCCCATTACAAGGGCTCCACATATTAGAACAGAGAAGGCTGCTTCATAATAGTCATTTCCGCTCAGATATTCACTTTAATTATAGCGTGATGAGGTCATTCTCCCCAGCGCAGCTGCCAGATGCCTCTTTCTGATAAGAAGCTGGCTGGTGGTGGAGGGAAGTGGGGGCTCCAGGCTTGAGACCCGGAGGAGGAGAGCCAGGCTGGGGGCTCTGAGGCCAGCACAGAGCCTAGAGGTGGCGGAGAGGAGAAAACAAGGCCTCAAGTCAGCAAAGAGACAGAGCAGGTATCAGGGCAGGGAGAGGGAAGTACAGACAGGAGAAGGTCAAATGGATGCTGGACTTTGCAATCCAGGGTGGTCAAGTGCAGCCTGGGACTTAGTACTTAGCACACAGTAGGTACGCTAAACATTTACGGAATGCATGATCGAGGGGATAAATGCACACAGTAAATGAATGCATGCAGAGGCCAGAGTCCTAGAGCTTACTCCCTCACTATGCACCTCCCATTTCAGCAAGAAAGAATAGCCCCTTCCTTAAGCTGGCATGGATGGTTGTAGAAGCTCAAATACCCAGGATTGCTGTTAGGAATTTTCCAGGTGAAAGCAAACCTTTCTTAAGTCAGTTTGTCCAAGGCAGCCAGGATTAGAAAGTACTGCTATTTCTTCTTCTTCTTTTTTTTTTTTTTTGCGGTACGCGGGCCTCTCACTGTTGTGGCCTCTCCCGTTGCGGAGCACAAGCTCCGGACGCGCAGGCTCAGAGGCCATGGCTCATGGGCTTAGCTGCTCCACAGCATGTGGGATCTTCCTGGACCGGGGCACGAATGCATGTCCCCTGCGTCGTCAGGCGGACTCTCAACCACTGCGCCACCAGGGAAGCCCTGCTATTTCTTCTTTTAAAAACAATTAGCAATTGCTTACCATGTGCCAGGTACTGTTCTTAGCACTTAATGTGTTTTAACTCAAATAGTCCCTATGACAATGGCATTCAGTAGCAGTTATTATTGTCCCCTTTTTACAGATTTGGAAGCTGAGTTCCAGAAAAGTGTAATTGATTTCCCTGGGTCAGAATCTCTCCTGTTTGAGCCTGAGCAGCCTCAAGATGACATGCCTAACCCTGCAGGGCCCTGCTCAGTGGTGAGCCTGGGTGAGCTGGGTGAGGACCAGAGGCATTTGCCTTGGATCACTTGGGGTGAATTTCTTGGCTTGGGCGTAGGGACCAGAGCTGAATTTGTTCAAGTTGTACCATGCGACCGGACTCCAGGGTAGTGACACTTCAGCCTGGCCAGACCTGCCACCTAGGTCAGAACTGGCACAGAGGAGGAAGCTTGGGCATGTCTGGGAAGGTGGGGATGGTATAAGACAGTGGTTGTCAAAGTGTGGTCTCTGGAACAGCAGCATTTCCTGGGAGCCTGTTAGAAATGCACATTCCTGGGCTCCACCCCAGACCTACTGTACCAGAAGCGCTGGGGCTGGGGCCCAGTAATCTGTGGTAACAGTCCTGCAGGTGATTCTGATGAACGCTCAGGGTTGAGAACTGCTGGTGTAAGAGAAGGCTTCCCAGAGAGGGTTTATCAGGATGGGCCCTTGAAGGATGAATAGGAGTTTGTGGCACAAACAAGAGTATAAGCATTGGGTTTCCCTGGTGGCGCAGTGGTTGAGAGTCTGCCTGCCGATGCAGGGGACACGGGTTCGTGCCTCGGTCCGGGAAGATCCAACATGCCGTGGAGCGGCTGGGCCCATGAGCCATGGCCTCTGAGCCTGCGCATCCGGAGCCTGTGCTCCGCAGCAGGAGAGGCCACAACAGTGAGAGGACTGTGTACCGCAAAAAAAAAAAAAAAAAAGAGTATAAGCATTTCAGGCAGAGAGCTTAGCCCCTACAACAGCCCCTCACCTTTCTCTAGTTCTCAGTTTTCTCCCCAAATGACTGCTTGCCATCCATGGCACCTAGGGTCCTGAAACTTGGGCTTTGATCTCTTGCTTCTGGAGATGCTGCAGTGAGAGTCCTCACTGGCTACACCACCTCATGCTGTTTCAGCCAGCATCAATGATATGGGATATTTGCAGAAGGCTAGTTGGAGTAAGCTCGAATCCCTCCCAGGAAGTTGATGGGTTACTGTGCGATTGGATTACGAGCCTGGAATGAGAGTCCACCCCTTGCTGAGTTTCAAGGGTAAGTAGGAGCTTGGGATTAGAATCACTCCGAGTTCAGGAACTGGGATTGGGGGCCGATGAGCAGCTTGAGGCGGGTGGATTTTATGGCAAAGAAAGGTGTTATTTATGGCCAAGTGTGCATCTGAGATCAGAACAGACAGCGGTCTACTCCTGAGATTGGACAAGCATGAATGGCCTCCACCCTTTTTGTAGAGACCCAAAGTGCCCTGTGCGTTTCCGTCCTAGCTCTCCTCAAGATTGCAACGCCCCCGCCAGAGAGAAAGCTCTTCGAGTCCCAGGACCGCATCTGTCTTACTCACAGTCCTGCGTGGCTGGCACGGAGTAACAGTTGTTGAGAGTTATTTGAAAGCCTAGTCCTATCTGGGGAACAGAGGATGAAACTGCGCCCTGCACTGTCCACATCACTCTGATGACCCTTGGGTTCAAATCCTGGCTTGACTGACTTAATGGCAGCGTATTCGGTAAAATGCTTAATACAGACTGGCTTTAGTTTCTGTGTGTGTAAACAGGGATAACAAACCCACTTTGTGGTAAGTCTTAGAAATGATACACACACACGTGATAAATACTGTATATATGTTATATAGACAGTGACTATGTGGTACGTAGCTCAGAATAGGTGTTTCTCAGTTGTAGCCACCGCTTTGATTGTGAGTCATTATTACTCTGGTTTGCATGGAATTCAATGCCATTCACCTAAGGGACCAGTTCCCAGCTGCCGTGGGTCCAGGCAGATGCTGGATGCTGGTCGTGAATTCCCAGCATCGTCTGGCTGACAGTCAGAAAGCACCGGATGCTCAGTGCCTCTCTTTCCCGTATCACTGCAGGGACCAGGAGAGCTTCCAAGAAACAAAAAGTGAGTCTGTGACCCCAGGGTGCTTACAGTTTCCCTGGGTGGTGTGATTGTGATGGATGACTTATTTAGGGCAGTGTGTCCCACAGGAAGCCCCAAGTCACTGGTGGGTGACAACCAGCTAGAGAGAGAAAGAGGCAAAGAGAGAAAAAGGGAAGGAGAAATAAAGAAAGAAACCAAAACAGGAAAAGAGAGAGGAGACGGAGAAACTAGCATAGAAACCGCGAGGTCCGTCGTGGGCAGTCGGGATACTGTTTAGGGAGCTCTGACTCCTTTTGTGCACACACACCACAAGCATGTGGATCTGAGTCACAGTGTAAAGGGGGTTTCTTACTGAGGGCGGCATTTACCACGATTTTTGGAGACTGTGATTTAGACAACAACACGACAAGAGGGAATACACGAAACCCTTTGTGTCCTATAGTGTCGGGTTCAAGGGCAGCCCGTCTAAGAGATCAAGCAAGGAGCATGCAGATGGAGAACAAAGCACGGGCTCATACCAGTGAAAGCTGATCTAGGTGGTGGCGGCCGAATGGTCAAACAGCCCGATACCTCTGGGCTTCTGGACACCCCCGTGTGGCCACCCAGCTGCAGGCCTTGCCACAAGGCCAGGGCCAAGGGCAGGGACAACAGATGTTTCCCGTAGCTGTGGATCCGGAGAGGGAGAGGAAGGGAAGGGCTGTTCCTGCCCCCAACTCACATGCAGGGAAGTCACCACCTCCCATGGAGGCATGGTGGGGAGTGAGGGCAGGGATCGGGGGGGAGGCTGACGCTCTCCTAGAGGCCTTGGGCAATTTCAGGGGTGGGAAGAATGTTCCAGGACTAGGGAAGTTCTGACACAAGTCCTGGGGGCTCAGCCTCAGGGGGGGAAGCAGGGGGAGGACTTACTAGGCAGCAGGCTCTGGGTGAAGTAAGTGGCCACTTACATTCCTCACAGCAAGCGAGCCAGAGGGAAGTGTTTATCTCCAAAGAGCTTGAGCAAGTGGTCGACATCTCACAGCCCAAAGAGGCAGAATCTGTGTTGTAACCTGGGATCCCCGGCTCTAAAATGTGTGCTCTCTCCAGAGTGCAAGCTGCCATGGTTGGGAACGGCTTCTTTCCTGTGCCGTCTGCAACGCGGCAGCAGCCAGAGCCCTGCTGACTCTCTAGGTCTGCAGGGTGATCCGCTGCGTGTTTCCTGGTCAAAGGCAGCACCCCTGGGAGGTAGCAGGGTGCAGAGGTGCTGCCCCTCCGTGCAGGCGACAATCTCCACTCCAGCTGGCAGCTTGGGCACCGCTAATAGGATGCAGCACTTTAGCAGCAGCTGGATCCTCGGGGCTCCAGCGGTGCTTCTCAGATGTCAACAGAGAGCAGTGCTCAGGCACTGGCTCCAGGGACACAAGTCGACCCTCCTGTTGCCACCAAAAGCCTTGCTTCTCTTGTGTTTTCTGATGAAGCTGTGCAGGGAACTTCTTTTTCCTGCAAGGGTTTGTCTTCAGCACCTCCTGACCCACCTCTAATGGTTTTTCCTATTGCCTCAGGGGTCCTGGAGGAAGCACCCCATTCCTGTTTCCCATCTCCCACCTGGTCCAGCCAAGAGGAAGAATTCAGGCACGGGGCAGAAGACTCTGGGAAGAGTAAGATTATTTAAGCCTTAGTAGCACGAAGGGAAACACTTGTTGACCAACAGGTTTGTCATCAAGTCCTTGAAGAATTCATGCCATGACAACGGTGTCAATGCCAGCAATGAGCAGACGTGGCAACCACATCTGTTGCTTGATGGTTTGCTCTGTGCTACTTATACCGAGAGCCTTCTTTTTCAGGGGGCTTAGTGGGTGATGGCTTTGCGTGAGGCTGACTTGGGTTCAGAGGAAGGACAGGAACGTTTGTGGCCCTAGATAGTTCTCCTTGGCTCACACTGGAGTTTCTCCTTCCTTTTCTAGATTCTGGCCTCAAAGGCCTGATGCAAGTGAAATAGAAATCAGCTGACGATTGACGTTTACTAACTGACTTTCCTTTGTGGTAAGAAAAAGGTCAAAGACATTTACTTTTCTTTGATGGTCTGTTGTTATCTCACTGTAGCATTCAAGCTACAACAGGGGAAGAATGGGTCTCAGAATATAAGAGGCCCAAGGAAAGAAACGGATAGCTCGGTATCCACTGTCCATCTCTCTTGCAAGACAGCCAAGGTCGGCCGGGCAGTTAGCATTTGCCCAGCCCCAGGCTTCACCGGATGCAGAGAGGATGAGGTCTGTCCCCAGAAGGTTTAAGACTTGGTTGAGGAGACATGACACATTTACATGAAAAGTTAGACTCTGTGTGTTTAAGTGTCAAAATGAGCAAGAAAGACGTGCCCGGGAAACAGAGTCACAGATGGAGAAACCAAACTTATGGTTACCAAGGGGGAACAGGGGGAGGGATAAATGGGAGATTGGGATTGACATATACACACCACTATATGTAAAATAGATAACTAATAAGGACCTACTGTGTAGCACAGGGAACTCTACTCAATACTCTGTAATGGTGTATATGGGAAAAGAATCTAAAAGAGAGTGGATACATGTATATGCATAACATATTCACTTTGCCGTACACATGAAACTAACATAACACTGTAACTCAACTATACTCCAATAAAAATTAACTAAAAATAAACTTCCTTTAGCACCTACTACATCCCAGCAACGTGGTGGATAGTTAAGGCAAGGCCCCTGCCTTCAAGGAGCAGACCGTACAGCAGAGACAAGGACGTCTGTGGGTAACTTTGGAAAGGGTAGGTTTCTGGGTTCTCCCGAAGGCTTCCTGGAGGGGGTGGTCCCCAAGGCTGGCCTGCTGAGATGCTGAGTGGGTGATGCCAGCAGCAGTGGTAAGAGAAGGACGTGGAGGGAAAGCTCACGGTGGGTCATCGGGTGTCGGGGTCTGGGCTCCCGGCAGCTGCAGGTTGTATGCTGGGGAGGGGCGTTACCTGCCTGCAGCTTCCAGCAGGTCACCCTTCCTATCTGTGCAGAGAGCCTGTGTCGCCTTCCCCGGGCTTGCAGACCAAATTCTCCAGACAAAGTACCCGGCCAGGCGAGGCCAATGTGAATTTGACCTGCCTTTTATCAGAATGTGCCTGCCATTCTCAAGGTCAAAACTATTGCCCTCATGGTCCCTGTGTGTCACCTTATAAACAGTCTCCCCGGGCCCAGGGCTGCCAAAGTGCTGTGCAATGTTATTACACTGCTCTGAAACCCCATCCAATGATCCAGCCACGCTTTCCTCCTCCTGGCTGTGATGCTGCCTTCCCTGTTGCCCTGGTGCCTGATGCTGCTATATAAAAGCAGGCACAGATGTCTGGCGGGTACCGGAGCCTTGCAGGCTGCAACATGCCAGCCACATCAAAACACTGGTGGGTGAAGTACTGGGGCCTGTGAGGGGGCAAGGAGAGGTAGACTCCCTGCTCTGGAGATCAGAGCCATTCCCGGCATCAGTAAACTGGGGAAGATGCAGCCTGGGGGCAGAGGCAGGAGAGGGGGTCTTCCTGCCTCTGGATCTTTTGCTCAGGGAGTTTTCGTACTCAGGCATTGTCGTTTGGGGGATGTGCTCAGGGGAGGGGAACTGAAAGCTGAGGATGCTGTAACTCACAACCCAGAGTGTCCAGGCTTTCCTCCACCTATATGTCCCTGCTATTACCCCTGAGTTTTTTGTTTTTTTTTAAATAGAGCCTTATTCCAATACAAGGACCAGTCTGCCTCAGTTGAGCTACAGGGTCTAAGTAAAAGGAAACGCTGCTTTGTCTGTGTTCCTGGGGCCAGAGTATAAAAAATGGAGCCCCTGTCTCCCCAGCCCAGGATGGTGACAGCAGTGGGAGTCAGCAAGAAGCCCTAAAGGGGTGGGGGGAGGGCGCATCTGGGGAGACAAGGGTCTGCTGAGCAACATGAAGTCGCCACTGTCCACATGCGGACACTCCTCTGAGAGAGGGAACCTTGTCAGCTTGCGCTGTGTGGGGTTTGGGGCTTGCTCAGGAGGCAGCAAATATCCCCACGGCACAGAGTGAGGAAAGGGAACCACCGCTCCCTCCCCACACCCTGTGCCCACCGCCTCCTGAGGACCTGAGGGTTTCTAAGAAAATGGAATTCAAGAGAGACAGGAAGAAGGGGAGGAGAAGATCCAGTCCGGCTGCTGTGCCTGGTTCTGGGGAGGATGCTGGTGCTCGGTACCCGTCCGCTTCTCAGGCTGGGGTAGCGGGGGTGCTGGAGAGGTGTCTGGTTCAGCAGGCGTCAACAGAAGCTCAGACTTGAGACAATGCCAAGACCACGGAAAGGAGCTCAGCAGGTTTGCTCTTCCCGGGAGGAGGAGAAAGCCTGCCCTGGAAATAGCTGGTGTGGCTTCAGCTCACTGGGAGAGGAGACCCAACTATTTAACTTCTGATTTGCACCTGTCCCTTTATCAAGCCCACTGATCTTCACATTGAAAGGAGAACAAGTTTAAGAGGAAACGGAAGCTGAGGAGGAGAGGAGGCGGGTGTTACCCAAGAGTGAGATAGCGTCCCTGCTCTGACCAAGGTCGGGGTCCAGGCTCTGGAGGCCCTCACACCCCACCGGGAGAGGGACGGACTGGAGCTCTCCTATCCGTGTGTGCACAGGACTGCGCTCAGCCTCTGGGGTTTGTGTGATGTCCGGGTCAGTGTGTGGAGCTGGTGTCAAGGCCTTTTATGCCGTGGCCGTTCCCAGCTGATGGCCCTCTCCTTCATCTTACTCTGTCCAGCTAGGTCGAGCGACACCTCGGAGGTGGGATTTGTCCTCATGGGCAGTTCTGCAGCTCTGTCCCCGATCCCTACCCAGATCCAGCCCATATTCTAAGCCTCAGGCTCCCCAGGCTTGGCTGGGCTCAGAGGTCCCCAGACACAGTCTATTCCCAAGGCCCCATGTTTCTCCATCCTCCTGAGAGGGGCTCTGCCTACTCAGAACTCACTCCTCGACTCCCCTCTGGACTCTTACATGTGCTTCAGCAGCTCACACAGGGGTGACTCTCTGACCTCTGATCCCTACAGCAAAAGAGTGCCTGATCCCCAGGGCGGACACACATGGCAAGCCTGGCACGGAACGAGGGTTCAGTATGGCGGGTCCTCCAGGGAAACAACATCCTTCACGTCTCTGTTTCTCTTTCAGGGCTAAAGGGAGACTGGGAGCCTGGCAGCATTTGGGAGGAATTTGCTAAATTATGGATAAAGAAGGAACAGATAAATTACTCACCATCCACTGCGTACAAGACGCAAGGCCCTAAGGAGGGAAGGAATTAAACACCCTTAGGAGTCTTACTTGTCTTCTCAAATGGCACGTTACCCATGCTTCCCATCTCGAGGTAGGATGACATCCATGGCATAGGGCAGACTTTCACAGGCAAGTTACCCCACGTCTTGGAGCCTCCTTTCCTCTCTCTGTTACACAGAGATAGTAAACCCCCAGCCTAACAAGACTGACAGCTGAGGCCCTGGTCCTCAAACTTGATTGTGCATCAGAAGTGCCTGGGGCATGGGATCTGTTCCATCCCAGCTTCCTGGGTCACTCCCCCCGCCGCCCAGATTCTGAGTCAGCAGGTCTGGGTTGAACGCGAGATTCTGCATTTCTCACATGTTCCCAGGCAATGCTGCTGGTGCGGGAGCCTCCCTCTGAGAACCGCTGAGCTCATGACCGTAAGTGCTGCTTATAGAGCACGAGGTTCCATTCAAACACTGTTACACACCTCCCTTTGCAAGGGTGTGATATTAGGCTTCAGCAACTAGAACTGGGGGGGCCTGGTACCCCCTCAGCAACGCAAACAAGCAGCCACCGTCACAGCTGATCTGGTCACGGCCTGAGCTCAGCACCCTTTCTTTCAGGACCAGATGATGCAGCTGGAGACCTGGCACAGTAACACACTCTGAGAATTTGTCACCTCTGCTGGCTCCCCTGCCTGGCTGGGCGAGGGGACAGGGACACTGTGGCAGGGTCTGGTAGCTGCCCGCACCCTCTGACCAATGACCTGTTAGGAGACTGCAGCCTTGCTCTCTGGAAATTCTGAAAGGGCCCTCAGCTGCCCTGGATGCCCACGTGTGCACTTAATGCACTGAGACCCAGGGAAGGAAAAAGAGCCACTGTTGATTCAGCGGAGTACACCTGGGCTCTCATGATGCGGCAGGAAAGCGCTTCTCCAAAGGAAGGTGTCTGGGGCACCAAAATGGCAAAGGAAGGAAGTGGATTCTTGGAGATATGGGGCTGGCCAAAAAGTTTGTTCGGGGTTTCCCATAAGATGGTACGGGAAAAACCCAAACGAACTTTTTGGCCAGCCCAATATGTTGAGGCACCAGAAAAGGCACTGTGTATCTCAGTCAGCATCGCTGGGCTTCCCAGATCTCAGCTCCACCAGAACCGGCTAAAGCTCAGAAGACTCTGGACATGCTTTCTCCAGCCCCAGCTCCATCCGGATGTGGGAAGACCGAGAGTACACAGAAAGCTCCCCTGCCTACTGGTGAGCTGAGCACGGCGGCCAGGCACAGAGTGGACGGGGGCAGCACGAGGGGCCGTCCTGCAGGGCGACTGAATCCCCGCCCCACACCTAGACCACCTTGGGAAATGCCAACCCCAGTCTCCTCATGTGTCCAATGTGGTGGCGCTTCTCTGTAGGGTCCTTGTGAGCTAGTACGTGGTGAGCACCTAGGACAGCGCCTGGCGTAGACTGGCCATTTGACTGTCACTTATTATCCTTGTCCACAGTGTTGACACAGCTTCGGTCAAAGTGGGATTCTCACAAATGGGCAACTTTCATTCTCTCATACGCTCTATGGCCAATGTATCACCCTGAGCCTCAAACACTCCATTTCTAGTCATTGATCCAGAGAAATCATCTGAAACAGGAACAAAAATTCATTCTTGGCAAAGTGTATTGCCATTGGGTTTAAACTGGAAAATAAAAGAGGACAGTCTAAATGCTCCACGTTGAGAAACTCGTTCTGTCAATTACGATACACACACAGGACAGAATGTTCTGCAGTTACTGAAGGCAAGGGTGGGAATTCTGAGCGACAGGAGGAAATGCTTACAGTATGATTTAATGGAAAGGAACAGGACTCTAAATATAAACTATGTTAAACATACAAAAAAAAGGCTTAGGAAAAGGAATGAAAGGAAATATACTTTCCTGAGATGGTGGCTTTTGGGTGGTTATGGGTGGGGGCTAGGTTATGGGGGTATTGTTTTCTTCTGCTATACAGTTTTCACACACATCCACACCCACATATACATTAATGCACACACATGGCCTCCCGTGACCCGCAGCCCTGCCAGTGACCCCCCTGGGCTGACGCAGGGGCTCCTCTAAGGCACGGTCCCCAGCCTTCACTGGCGGGCCTGTGAGCATCTCTGGTTGGTGACAGTTATGTCCCAGCCAGGGCCAAGTGTGTGGCTGGTGGGTAGGATCCAGGTATGATGGAGAAGACAGTTCTGTAAGGAGAAGCTGTGCCTCCCAGTGAGATTCGGAAGCCCAGGAAATGGGCCAGCAATGCTCTTTTCAGTCCTCATTTCAGGCTGGGGGACCAGCGTGGCGACCAAGAACTTGACCTCTCCAGCTTAGGGAACAGCAGAGGCCAAGGTTCTAAAGCCTCTCCCTGGGAGCACCCTGGACATCTGGCTGCTATGACACTTTATCTGAAGAGAATGTCACCTCCTCCACAGCCCTGTGAAAGCAGGACCAGCCCCCTGCTAGATCTGTGTTTGTGCCTTTGTTTGTTCTCCCATTCACACCCCAAGGCTCGGCGCTCCCCTGGCCTCCACTTCTCCAGGGACCATATTGCCTGGGGCTCTCTTCCCTCTGGAAACCCTCCTTTCTGGATATGGATAATGATGTAATTGCCACCATTTGGGGGCTTGCTTCATAAGTGCATGTATTGGTGCGATTTCTTATAAGAACCTCCGAGGTAGATGCTATAATGCCTATCGCTTTACAGTGGAGGAAACTGGAACTTGCCCAAGGTCACACAATGGTGACAGGAGAGACTGGGATGGGGTCTGACCCAGAGAGAAGACGGCCGGCTATGAACCAGCAGGTGGGCCCCCCACCAGACACCACGTCTGCTGGTGCTTTGATCTTGGACTTCCCAGCCTCCAGAACTGTGAGAAATACACATCTGTTGTTTTAGCCCCCAGTCTGTGGTATTCATTATATCATCCAGAAAGGACTACTAAGGGCTGAAATAAGGGAGCCCTGCAGACATCGGAATGAGGAGTGTCCCAAGCAGACACCAGCCAGGGGATGTGCTCCTGGGTGACCCAGGGACCGTGTGGTTGCTGCAGAGTGAGTGAGGGGCAGAGTGTAGAAGGGGCAGTGACGGCACGACAGGCTGGACCCTACGGGCCTCTGCGAGGGATGGGAGGCCAGGGCGGGGGTCCAGAGGGAACTGTATGAACTGTGTGTGCTTGAGGCCCGTCACTCTGGCTGCTGTGCTGAGTGAGGACAGACCCTGGGTGAGGATGGGAGAGGTTAGGACCATGGTCCAGGCAAGTGCTTGGACCAGAACCATGGTGGTACAGGTGATGAGGGACAGGGAGATTTTAGATATATCGGGACTGTGGGGCAACTTGGGCTTGCTGACGGATTAGATGTGGAGTGTGCAAATAAAGAAAAAAAAAATAGAAGAGTCAAAGTTTGGGCCTGAGCAGGAAGGATGGAGTTGTGGTTCACTAGAAGGGGGGCCCGGGGGCAAGGTCTGGTGGGGGGCGACATCAGTGCTGGCTGAGGGTGTGTTATGCTCAGGGAGCCTGTTAGATGAGAAGTGCACAAAGGTTAGTTTCGAAGACTAGTTAATAAATCTATTTTCTTTTTCTTTGCACAGAAGCTGGTAATCTAGGACCTACGTGTGAACAACTTTATATATGAATATTTTTAGTGCTTGGTTTACTTGGGTTGGTATGATATATTATAGTTAAGTTCCTTGAACACTGTGGATTCCCCTAATGTGTATGAATGACTGAGGCTTTGTAGATCAAGGGACTTTTCCTCCCTTGCTTGGGGAGAGTTCAGGGAGAGGTGAGGGCTGAGGGAGGGGCTGGGCGGAGGCAGTCTCCAGCATCTTGATGGTATTCACAGAGCCCCGCGAGTGTGAATGAAGGAGAGGACCCAGAGCTGAGCCCTGGAGCTTGGACACGTGGAGCCCAGGACGAAGCAGGCAGAGAGCCAGGAGGAGCCCAGGGGGAGCGGTACCTGGGAAACAGGGCCACCCACCCCTGCAGAGGCTGGGCGGCCCCATCACAGCTTTCCTCCTGCTCTGTCTACAGCTGCCCGGTTCTCCCCGGGGCCTGTGTATGTACTAGACTCCACCTTGTCACACACTATATACATCACCACTGAGACCTCGCCCCTCTCTCCTGCGTCATCAAATCGCCCCCCCCCCCCAGCAGATCCCCCCTGAGCACGCTGTTCTCCAAACTGAAGAAAAGACAAAACTCCCTTCTTCACACCCTGTCTCTCTCCCACTCCTGGCCCCTTTCTCTGCCCCCCTGTACAGAAAAGCTCCTCAAAAGGATTTCTATACCTTCTTTCCATGTTTCAGGTACTTATTTTTTCAGTGAAATAAGCTGCCTTGATAATGTTGGTGCTTGGAGGGGTGAGTGGGGGAAGCAATTGGACAGAGAATTCAGGTTTGGGATCACACCAACAGGTGGGACCAGTCAGTGTGAGAATGTGTGTGTGTGTGTGAGAGAGAGAGAGTGGGGTGTGCTCCCAGCCATGGTCAGCTGTTTGAATTCAGGTACACAAGAGGGGGAAGAGCTGTATTTATTGATCCAAGCCTGGGCCAGTAGGAGAAAAGGAGAAAAGTTTAAGAGAGTTCATTGGACATTCAACAGAAACCATCTGGGGATACAGCAGTAAACAAAATAGCTGAAAGTTCTTGTCTCTCTGGAGTTTACATTCAAGGAGAAGGATACAGACAAGAAAAAGGAGCAATAAACAAGCTATGCAGTATACTAGATAGTGCAAGACAGAAAACAAAGCAGAAGAGAGGAGGGGGCTGTGAGTGGGAGTCGCAAATTTAAATACCGTGGCCAGGGAAGGTGGTATTTGACTTAGCCCTGAAGTGGGTGAGGGAGGGAATATCTGGAGAAGAGTGTCCCCCACGGTGGGAACAGCAGGTGCAAAGGCCCTGGGGTGGGAGCAGCCCCAGTGTATTTAAGGACCAGCCAGCAGGCCAGTGTGGCTGGAGTGAAGTGAGCCCGGGGTGAGCTGTAGAAGATGCAGTCAGAGACTTAAATGCGGCTGGATCATGGGCCTTGAGAGCACTGGACGAGCTTTAGCTCTTATTCTAAAATAGACGGGGGCCATGGAAGGATTCTGAGCAGAAGAGTGACATGAACTGACCGTCATGCTGTCAGGTGCTCTGGCCGCTGTGCAGGGGAAGGGGACCAGCTGGGGGCCACGGTACCATCCAGAGGAGAGAGGATGATGGCTCAGACTTCAGTGGGAGAGGCGAGAGGTGGTGGGTTTGGAATGTCTTTTCTAGGGACTCTGATGACGGGCTGTGGAGTCTAAGATGCTCAGGGGAAGAAGTGAGGCGATGGAGGGTGGTGGACGGCAGGAAGCGGTCAGGTACTGGATTCGCGGTGCCCACGTGGCTGAGAAATTGCCAGAGTGGAGATGTGAAGTCAGCAGGGGCCCGAGCTAGAAGTGCCAGGAGCTGTCGGGGAGCAGGGTGGTTGAAGTGGAGACGCTGGAAGTCTCCGGGCATGTCTCGTTCTGCTTACGACTGCAGGAGCAAGAGCTGATGCCCAAAGCAGGGAATTGAGGTAAGTGGAGTGTGTAGGGGGGCGGGATGCTGGAGGTGGTATCTGAGAGAGATGGAAGATGATTGCCTGGCGGTGGAGAGCATGATACGCGCATCAGGGAGAAAGGAATAACAGTTGTCTCCAAGTGGCCCATCTCCACGCTGCGCCTGGTGGCAAAGAGCGGGAGGGAAATGGTCACCACCTAAGAGGGCCAGCAGTGTCCTGAGGAGCCAGGCATCTGCTGCAGGAGAGGGAAGGTGTGCTCAGTGGGGCTGGGGTGGGAGGCTGGGTGGTGCAGCCTGTGGTCCCCGTGGGCTGAGATGGCAGGGAGATGGCAAGTCTGGGGATGGGGGTGACCGAAAGGCCTGGGGGTCCAGGTGTCCTTGGCATCTGTGTGCCCTTCTCCCTTCCCTGTAACTTTTCTCTTCCACATCATTCAGTCCCCAGGACGGACCGTCTGGGGATTCAAGGGCTAATAGCACTGGCGTCAAGTCCATGGGGCCTGAGAATCTGGGTTGTCTGTCCCTTCCCATTGCCTCGGTGTTGGGGACCAGCCAGCCACATCAAGTCCACGTCCCACTGCCCAACATTTCAGAATCTCTGGACTCTCCCAGCCCTCATTTCAGGTAAAAATCCTCTAAATTTGTCTTTTATCGTCGTTTCTTGTGTGTAGTGAGCCAGCTGGCCAGAAGGAAGCTCCTGAGAGGTGGAGGTGCTGCACCATGCTATAGATGCTCCTGCTTTGTCATGGCGTTCAGGTCACGTCACCTCCTCTGAGAAGCCGTCCCGGATTTCTGCATGGGGCCTGTGTGCTCCCTCCTCTATTCCTGCAGGGGCAGCAATCGTTTTCGTATATGTTTTAGGCTTTGCAGCCCACATATGGTCTCTGTTCCACATCCTTCTTTGTTTTATCAGTTCGTTTGTTTGTCTGTTTTTTTTTTACAACCCTTTAAAAATGTACAAACCCTTCTTAGCTAGTTGACTGTACTGAAATAGGCCACAGGCTGGGTTTAGCCCACAGGCTGTAGTTTGCCGAACAACTCGTTCAAATCATCATTAAAGTGCTTTGCTGTCGTCTGTCTTTGCACTCATTTTTGAGCTACTAGAGGGCGAGGATTGTATCTGACCCCTCACCATCTGACACAATGCTAGGTGAATGAATAAGTGATGTTGCGTAAAATATCCTCTGACATTTCCCAACTGACTCTTTTGTCATTATTTTTTCTACCTACCTGTCTCTCACATGTTAAATAAATAACCTCCTTAAGAGTCTCCAAGTCAGCTATTAAACAGTCACTCCACAGATGTACGCAAAGCTCCCAGTGATATAAATGGCTGTCATTTATTAAGTTCTTTGCTGGCTGCAGACTGTTGTAGAGGTGAAGCCAACATTGTGTGTGTGTGTGTGTGTGCATGCGCGTGAGCGTGCGTGCCTGTGCATGTGTGCACACGCACACGTGCTCACCCGTGTGATTCAAGTACAGACCACTGGGCCTCTGTGCATCCCACGGTCACGCTGACGTGCCCTCCGTGGTCCCAGCTCTCCAGCTGGATCAAGTACGCTAATCCTTACCACTTCTCCAAGGACTTAATTCACTTAAAAAATCATATAATTGCATTTTCAGCATAATTAGGTACCTAATTACATGACTAAATGTCCTCAGTCAGGCTGCATGTGTAAAGAATGAGGATGTAGTTAGCCACGTTTTGTTATGAGGTTTCCAGGAGGCTCATCAGTTGGTAAATAGGAGGTAGAAAATGTTTTTCTCTTCCCTTCATGGGGTTTGACAGGCAGGAAAATGAGCAGGACAGTGAGAGTGGTGGGAGGTGGCTGGGGACTTGTGCTGCCCTGGGATCTCGGTTAAAGCCTCAGGAGAGCCTGTCAGATGAAGGCATGGAGTACTCGCGGTCTACAGACAGACACTGGCACTCCCCTCCCCTCCAGCATGTGCTAACGGGAGGCCACAGTGACCTAGAGACACAGGACCTTCAGTTCATGGGCCCAAAAGGTGAAGATGGAGCAAAGGATCCTCAGCGGAAGGAAAGTGTGTTCCTCCTCCACTCCCTGGAATTCTTCTCCTCCCCTCAAGCCAGGGTAGGGGCTGCACTAAGAGTTGCTGCGTTCTCCCCACTCTGGGTGGAAGGGTCCTGAGCCTCAGCATTCCTATGGGTGCAATGGGGCCATGAGTGAGCCCGCCGCTGGGGGCGGTTGTGAGGATGACATGAGATGATGTGTATGATGGTGTGGGATGAGTCTGTGCGCCCTACACATGGGCTGATACTGAGTGACACCACTGTGATTTGTTTTTTCTGCTGAGATAGTGTTTGAAAAGGGTGCTGGGAAAGAGAGGGTGCATTCTGATCTAAATACTGGGAGCGTGTTGCTTGGGGTGGTGGTAGAGAGAAGGGCGAATGTACGTAAGCAAACTGCTCTTTACAAAAATTGTCTGAAAGTGCTTCAGGGGGGCACTTCTTGTGGGTGAAGGGAGCATGGGTTGCAGTGCCAGAGAGATATGGCTGTGAGTCCAGGCTCCTCCACTATGATGTGCAACCCTGTTGCATGTGACCCTCTCCAACCCTCAGCTCACTGATCTGTAGAGTAGGACACACCTGCCTGGCTCCCAGGGGGGTGGTACCCAACACATGACAGCTCTTCTTATTATCCACATTTATTTGAGAATAGCTCCTTCTCACACACACCCACACAAATACACATACACACACACTTGGCCTCTGGATGCAGGGTCCCTGGGGGGGAAGCACAGGGGAACAGTTCCTGTGGCTTGGGGGTCAGGGAGTGCTTATTTATCTCCTGAAAGAGTTGGGCTTCCTGAGTACTTCCTCTGTGCTGTTAGCCCTCTTCTGTCCTCTGGCTATCAGGGCAGGAAATGGGCTTCAGGAAGTCACCAGTTCACCTCCTCATTTTGCATCAGGCAATGGAGCTAGGAAGTTGCTCACCCCTGGCTCAAGCCCCTGTGCTGTCTCAGTGCTTGGGAAGGAAAAGCCATTTCTCTTCACTGTTCCTGCCCCACCACCCCTCTGTCCCATCCTCCCACTGTTTTCCTGGCTGATGAAGATACTCTATAATATGTCTCAATCCATCACCCGGGAACACTCCTGCTCCATTTTCCCAGCATCTCTCTCCCCTAAAGGTCTTGTGATTTATGTTTCGCCTACATTAATCTTTTAAAAGCAAAGAAGCCATAAACACACACATAACTCTTCCTCCTGTCAGTTGAAATCCCATGACACAAACGCAATGCCATCTAAATTAAATGTTTCTTTCACAGAAAGTGATAAATGCCCTGGAGACTAATCAAAGAAAGCCAACAAACTTAGAGTTTGTTTCATTTCAGAATTTTGTAGGTGGTTTGTTTAAAGTCCAACAACTGGTTAACATCTAATGACTGATGGGAATGGTGAGTTGCACCCTCCTACTGTTTTAATGCAGCCAATATAAACAGGATTCATTACCCATCTTGCCCCATCAGGGATCTTGGCACCTAAAAATTGGGTTTGAAATCTAACACGTATTATGGGGAGAAGGGTAAATACAAACACAATTTATTATTCTATTGGACTGGTGTACTAATTTCTTAAACAAACCAAGTAAGAGAGCAAGAACAGTTACCCGAAAAG